GTCCCGGACCCAGTGGTTTAAAACTCACACCGGGTGCATGTACGTGTGTGCCCAAGATCCTGAGAGGAGAATGGAGGAGAAGGGATTGCGGCGTGACCATCCCCCCTGGGGGGTGATTTCTCACTTTCTGTCTCTGTGTCTCTCTCTGTCTGCCTGGTGAGCGCACGCGCCCTATAGTGAAAAATCTCTCCAAAAAAAAAAAAAAAAAGGAAAGAAATGAAATAAACTTAAAAAAAAATAAAAAGTTAACTTGCTAAAAGCCAAAGGCAAAGTCTTAACAGCATCTACAGTAAAAAAGCATATGACTTTCGAAAAGCAACAACTGAATAGATGATGACTTCTCAGTAGAAACAATGGAAGTGAGAAGAACTAAAATAAAACAACACCTAATCCAAAATTCTTGAATCTGTGGATATACTCTTCAATAATGAAGGAAAATGGGATTACAAAAATACTTAGTCTAACTAAGAAAATAAAGGCACTGCTTATTTCCATTTCAGTGTCTGGAACCATAAGTATGCTTTCTTGCATTCTATTAAAAACTTAGAGTTCATGTTATGATAATAGAAATTCATCAGAGATGAATGTTGATGTTTTCACCAGTTGTTTACAGAGATTAAAATTCATTTCATATACATGTTTTGAAATCTCGTTACCATGGAGTCTCAATACTAATAAAGAACAGGGAAATAAAACAGGCATTGGTTTACAGCAATGGAAAACATGGTAAGCAAATCATTTTGCTAATAACTATTTGTTCATATAAGAAAGTAAAGGAAGAAAAGTATTTCCATCAAATAAACACTGAGAGATTTCATCATAAGAGTCAATCTACAGGAAATCTAAAGAACATGATTTTGCAGGACCAGCAGTTAGCGTAATGGCTATGTTGCTGGACTCCCATGTAGTCGACTGCAGTTCGCGTCCCGGACCCGGTGGCTCAAAACTCACGCCAGGTGCGTGTGTGTGCATGCCCAAGATCCAGAGAGGAGATCCTGAAAGGAGAAGGGAGGAGAAGGGATTGCGGCATGGCCAACCCCCCTGGGGGGTGATTTCTCTCTTTCTGTCTCTCTGTCTCTGTCTGTCTGGCGAGCGCACGCGCCCTATACCGAAAACCTCTCAAAAAAAAAATACTCTGACTAAATGACAAAGTATGTCAAAATAAAAAACAAACAAACAAACGAACAAAAACTCAAGCAATTTGAGGAGCTGGGCATCTCAGAAATATCTAGGCAGAGAAAATTTTTAAGACCAACATCTGAACAAGAAATAAAGTCAATAGAGGTGAGTATGGAATTTGAAGTACATGCCATACTTTCTCATCAGGCTGATCTTTTCTTTATTTTTTAAAAATTTATTTATTTTACTTCATTCACTGAACATCATCACAGCATACAAAATGTGATTTCCCATCCAGAATACACTGTATTTAGGCTTAATCATTACCTGTTATTGTCAACAAATAATTTTCCATTCCCTCTGCCATTTCCCACCCTCCTCCCACACTGTCCCTGTTTATACTCAGGCTCATGTGAAGCACTGTAAAAGCAGGAAGTGAAGGCTGAGGCAGAATTGCAGACTGTCTGCCCGCATGCATTAAAGGCATGGCCCCAACACACATTAAAGACATGGTGCAACACACACATGGGCATAGCTCCTTGCAAAAGAAGGGAGAGCTCAGTTCAGGGAGCTCTCTGTCTGACATTAGCTGCCCACTAAGTTAATCAAGTGGAATTCAATGACCACACATGACAAAAATTACAGATTTTATAGAATTAGTCAAAGAAAGTAGAATGACAAAAACAGATCTAGGGAGGAATGTCATTTCCAGAGTTACCACATAATCAGATAATTTTAAATGTCCAACTTCAACAAACACTTTTGAGCCACACAAAGAAACAAGAAAGAATGGGGCACACACACAGAGAGAAAGCACTCAATAGAAACTGTTCGTCTCTGCATTCTCTTCTTGACTAGAAACTGCCCCTGAGGAAGTGCAGACATTGGACAAGTTACTAGGCCAATATTATAATCAGCTGTATTAATGTGGTCAAATGACTAAAAGAAATCATACCTAAATAATTCAAGGAAATTGTGCAAACAATATCTTACTAAATAGAGAATATTAGTAAAGAGATGGAAATTATACGGAGGAAAAAAAAGGAAAAAGAACCAAATAAGAATTTTAGAGTCATGGGACCAGCAGTTGGCATAATGGCTATGTCACTGGACTCCTATGTAATCCACTGCGGTTTGAGTTCTGGACCTGGTGGCTTAAACTCACGCTGGGTGTGTGTGCATGCATGCCCAATATCCCAAGAGGAAGGGATCACAGCATGATCATACCCCCGGGGGGTTATTTCTCACTGTCTCTCTGTCTCTCTCTTTCTGGTGAGCGCACAAGCCCTATAGCAAAAACCTCTCCAAGGGGACCAGCAGTTAGCGTAATGGCTATGTCGCTGGACTCCCATGTAATCGACTGTGGTTCGTGTCCCGGACCCGGTGGCTTAAACTCACACCGGGCGCGTGTGCGTGCGTGCCCAAGATCCTGAGAGGAGGATGGAGGAGAAGGGATTGCGGCGTGGCCATCCCCCCTGAGGGGTGATTTCTCACTTTCTGTCTCTCTGTCTCTCTCTGTCTTTCTGGCGAGCGCACGTGTTTAAAAAAAAAAAAAAAAAAAAAAAAAAAAAAAATCAAACAAACAAACAAAAAAAAACAAAAAAAAAACCTCTCCCAAAAAAAAGAAAAGAAAGAAAAAAAGAAATTTTAGAGACACAATGGAAATTTTTGGAGAAATTTGGGATGGGCTAAGGATTCATCAATGAGTGACTGTATTAAAAAATTGTATAAATATTTATAATGGAATAATACGCAGTCTTAAGAAGGAGATTCTGACATTAATCACAACATGGAGTCACATGATGCTAAGTGAAATACACAGATATAAAAAGAAAAATATAGGCCAACAGATGATGTGGAGGTTAAGGCACTGGATCTCACATGGGCAACTCTGTAGTTTTGAAAACATGCCAGGTGCATATGCATGTGTGCCCAAAATCCTGAGAAGAGAATGGAGGAGAAGAGATTGCACTGTAGCCACCCCCCTGGGGACTGATTTCTCACTTTCTCTCTCTCTCTCTGTCTCCGTCTCTGGCAACTGTATGTACCCTATAGAAAATTATTTAAAAAAAAAAAAGAAGAAAGAAAAATGACATGTGACCTCACTTACTTGTGGAATATAAAAGAAAAAAGAAACCAAATACATGGAAAAATAAAATGATAGTTACCAGGGGCAAAGTTGGAGAAAGAAAATGGGAAGAAGTAGACTAAGTAATACAGTTGCAGGTACATAGAGTGACTTTTTCTAGAGATCTAATTTATAACATGAAGAATATAGTTAATAATATTGTATTGCATTAAGGATTTTTTGCTGAGAGTAGTTTTTAGATGTTCTTGCCACACACACACAAATGCATGGGCACAGAGAAGAGCAACTGAATGTGAGATGGTGGATACGTTAATTTGACTGTGGTAGAAATTTCACTATTAAAAAAAGGAATTCTGCAGTTAAAAATTAGAAATTAAGTCTGGCCTGGTATCCTAATGGTTAAGGGAACCAGATCCCACACAGATGACCGCAGCACAAATCCTGGCTCTGGCATTTTGAGAAACAAGCCCCAAATCCTAACAGGGTGGAGAAATGAAGGAGAAGGGACTGCAGTGTGACCATGATCCCTTAATGGGTGCTTTCTCCCTCCTTCTGGTGAGCACAGATGTCCTCTGGCAATAATAATAAAAAAAAGTGAGAAATTGAAGAGTATCAACAGCAGATCTGAACTGATAGAAAAAGAATCCATTTATAAATGTAGATAGGTCAGTTGAGGGGTCAGCAGATGGCATGGCAATTACATTAGTGAACTTCCACATGGCCGACCACAGTTCCAGTCCAAGACCCAGTGGCTTGAAAATCACACCAGGCATGTGTGTGTGTGTGCATGCCCAAGGTTTTGGGAGGAAAATGGAGAAGGGATTGCAGTGTGGCCATCCTCCCTGAGGGGTGATTTCTCACATTCTCTTTCACTGTCTGTCTCTCTCCCCAGTGAGCATATGCATCCTAAGCAAAACCCTCTTTTTAAAAAAAATTATTTATTTAACTTTATTTATTTATTTATCATTATTTTCTAGTGTGACAGAGAGAGACAGAAGGAGAGGGAGGGAAAATGAGAAAGCAAGCCACCAAGTCCGGGACTTGAACCTTAATCAGCCATCTGGGAGTCCAGTGTCTTTAACTACCACACCACCTGCTGGCCCCCTAAGGCAAAACCCTCTTATAAACAACAACAACAATGGGCCAGCAGGTGGCATGGTGGTTAAGGGTATGGTGGTGGACTCTCACAGGGGGAGCCACAGTTCGAGTCCCAGACCTGGTGGCTTGCTTTCTCACTTTCCCTCTCTCTCTCTCTCTCTCACTCTGTCTCTCTCTGGTCAAATTAAAATAAATACATAAGTAAAAGTTAAATAAAGTAATTCTTTTAAAAGCAACAACAAAACAGGTCAGTTGAGATTATCCAGTTCGAACAAAAAAGAATAAAGAAAAATGAACAGAGCCTCAGAGACCTGTCTGACACTATTAATCTACTAACTAATGCCTCATACGAGTCCCAAAAAGAGAGAGAAAAAGATCATTTGAAGAAATATCCAAAAGTATCTCAATTTGGTGAAAAACAATGTCAAATCTGCCTATCCAAGAAGCTCAACATTCTCTAAATAGGAAAAAACTCCAGGCGATCCACATCATGGTCAAACTGTCAAAAGCCAAAGATAAAGAGAGATTCTCGGAAGCAGCAAAAGTAGTCCGTCACGTTCGAATCCCCCACTGAAACATGATTTCCTAGATGCCTCTTTCTGGAACCATCCAGATAGAATCTGAGGTAACAATCACCTGAGTCATCAACCCTACTGGTAGAATCAAAGATAAAAAATGGCGAAGCCTTCCAAACCTTTCAGGTGCTCTTTCCTTTATCTAAACTTGTGTTATTTGGGGCCCCATTTTAGCCCTCTCCATCCAGTGAGCCAGGACTGAGAGGGCACCAGGGGCCATTGTAAGCAGTCTTAGGGTGAGCCCATGAGAACGCATCGCTAGGGCTCTGACATGACAATGCCTGCCTGCCCTCTGAGGGCTACAGGACTTGCCCAGTTGGGAAACAGCTAAGCAGTAAGTAACTGTTGGCTTCAGATTACAATGTTATTCGTTCTAAGCATAAGATTATAGATAACATTTCCCTTAAAAATAAGTTCCTAGACTTGAAGTATAATTAGGAAGACTAGACATGTTTCTTTATCTCAAGTTTTTATATTTAAGCAGATATGCACCTACACTGTCTTTATATACTAAAGATAGATAGACTGTGTCTATATCTAAATCCACATCCACAGATTTGATGTGGTACTTATTTTATCTCTTTCTCAAAGACAACTTAGTGATAATTTGAGGAAAACTTGGAAATGAAATTTTTTCTCATCATTCCAGCCCAGGGGCCTGCCATTCCTTCAGCTAACATTTCCTGAGCATTGTGCTAGAGACTGGACATAAAGGTGGGGAATAAGGTGTTCCTTTTGAGAATGGGGGTTGTAGTGGGGTTGCTTAATAGTTGAATACCTAAACCTAGGTGATTTATAAAAATAGAAGTTTATTTAGATCATGGTTTTGAAGGTCCAAGGTAAAAAGGCTACATCTGGCAAGGGCCTTCTTTTTGGTTAACAACATGATGGAGGGAACAATGTGGCGAGAGAGAGCAAGCACTGTGTGTCTCTCATTGTTTTTCTTCATAAACCCACCACGATGTAATCAATTTCATTAAGTTTTCACTCTCTTAATCTAGAAACAACCAAATTTTATCAGATGAATTAGGGGGGGGGGACACATTCAAACCATAGTAAATACTGTGTCTGAGCTTGGTGAGGGGGTGTCAGGAGAGGTTGCTTAGAGGAAGTGACTCTTTATCCGAGTCTTGAAGGATTATCTAACTGAACTGAGGTTAGGCAAGGCTATCCAAGGAGAGAGACCAGCATGGCATGGAAGCGAAGAACGCAGTGTATAAGGATTCCAGACAAAAAACTGTAACATGACATAGACAAGCAAAGTTCCAAAATTCAGTTCAATTTAGTTCACTGTAACCAGTATTTTCATCAATTCCCTCTTATATGCCCAGCTTTATATTAGATGCTGGGTTATACAGACGACAGGAAGACATAGATAGCCACACATAATTTAAATCATGCATGACAAGTAACAACAGGAGTATGTAGAGATAGCATAGATCAAAAAGGTGATGAGAAACTTTCTGGATGTCTTAAGTAGCTTTCAAAGGAGAAAGGACGAAAAGGAATTTGAGCGCACAAGAAGAAAAGGTAGTCTCAGTAAGAGACACAGTATGTGCTTTGGTTAAAGGCAGTGGGTTGTATGCAGAGAACTGAATATGACTCATTATTACTGAAACTCTGACTTTTATTTAAGTTTATTAGTGAGAGAGACAGAGACCTAATAGGGTCTTGATGTCACAATTCACACCTAGACTCAGCCAGCACCAGATCATGGGCACACATGGGCCTCGAAGACTCAGAGAGATCTCCAAAGGCCAACCCAGAACCTTGCTATGTGGGTCAGGCTCAAAGAGTATTGTGTTTTGTCACTCCATCACCGTCTAGCTCCCAAAACTTAGATTTAGAATTGAGTAGAGATGGGTGGAAGAATAGAGAGAGAGAGAAAAAGAGAGCTCACTTTCTCTTTCTCCCCTCCTTCCTTCCTTCCTCATTTCTTTCCCTCTTTCTTTCTGTTTCTCATTCTTTCTCCCTAGATATTATTTTATTTTACAGTACATAAAAATACATGTACAACTTAGCACATTTTTATCATACACATACAAATACCACCCGAGCAAAGAAAGAAACTACTGCTAGCCCCTAAGATGTCCTTTGTAAGTTACTTAACTTATCACAATCTAGTACCCACTCCTTCTGCACCATCCTCTGACACAAATCACCACTATCCTGATTATGGAATTTGCTTCCTTGCTTTCCTTTTCTGTATTATTGCCAGGGATATTCCCCCAAATAATAAAGTTTAGTTTTGCTTGGCTTGGAATTTTATTCTCTCAAATGCCTTGACTGCTCCTTTCTTTCAACATTATGTTTAAAAGACTCACTCATGGGAACCAGCAGTTAGCATAATGGCTATGTCGCTGGACTCCCACGTAGTCGACCACGGTTCGCGTCCTGGACCTAGTGGCTTAAAACTCATGTCGGGCACGTGTGCGTGCGTGCCCAAGATCCCGAGAGGAGAATGGAGAAGGGACTGAGGCGTGACCATCCCCCCTGGGGGGGTGATTTCTGGCTTTCTGTCTCTATGTCTCTCTCTGTCTGTCTGGCGAGCGCACACGCCCTATAATGAAAACCTCTCCAAAAAAAAAAAAAAGATTCATTAATCTATATTGTCCATCAAGATAGATATACCACCTTTTTTTTATAACTCCATTTTATTGTGATAGTCATTGAATTATTTCCTGCATTGGGCTCATATGAATAAAGCTCCTCGAACATGCTGCTGTGTGTATTCCGGTCACAATTCAGAAATCTCACCAGGGTTTGTATGTGGGAGTGGAGCTGCTGGGTCACAAGGTGTCTTCACTATTGTTCAGTATTCCTAGATATTGTGTGAGAGTTCCTCTTGTTTCCCATTTTTGCCAGCATTTGGCATTGTCTCTCATCTTTTTGTTTTAGACATCTATTCCCCAAATAGACTCCTTTACTATTGGGTTGTAAGAAAAGCCATGGTGCATTCTTGCATAGAAAAAATATATCATGACTTTTCCAAAGGCCCAGTAAAATAGATCTCCTTAGGTCAATGGGTCTCATTCTCTGTTTCTCAATGACTTATAACAAGCCCATAAGGAGGATACCAGTAATTCGAAATTAAGGTGCCAGATTTTAAATTAATTCTTTTGGACTGTGGTGCTTTATTACTTAAAAAATAAACAAAACTGTGATGTAACTCTTAAGTTCTCAAGTCACACTTGTGTGCTCTGATACCCTGGATTAAAACCACTGTCTTTGCTGGCTGAGAATCTGTTTATAGCAGGCTTGAGCTTGAATGTATTGGCCACCTCTTCATCCCAAAGCCATGACCACCTGACACGTTTCTCTACCAAAGCTTGTTCTGTACAAATTGCCATCTAAGAGGCAAAGAGCAGTGATTAAATTTCCCAAATCAAATAGTACCAAGGGCTGTTCTCTGGCACGTAATACTCATGAACATATTCTCTGGTGCCCCCACAGGGTTTGAACAATTGACCTGGACTTAGCCCACAGCCCTGTCCTCCATCACGGCCACTTCACCATTCTGGCTGACTAGGAAGATGTTTCCCTTCAAGGTGAGCAAATGGATGGGACTCTCTTGCTTCCGGTCACTGGTCTCCTCCTCTCCCAATATTCGCCTGAAGAAACTAATCCACAAGTTGCAGGAGGAAAAAGCTTTTAGAGAAGAGATGAAAATTTTCCGCAAGAAAATAGAAGACTTCAGGGAAGAGATGTGGAATTTTCGAGGCAAGATTCGTGTTTTCCGGGGCCAGATCTTGGGTTTTTGGGAAGAGGAGAGTCCTTTCTGGGAAGAAGAGAAAACCTTCTGGAGAGAGGAAAAAGCCTTCTGGGAAATGGAAAAATCTTTCCGAGAAGAAGAGAATACCTTTTGGAAAAAATACCGTACCTTCTGGAAGGAGGATAAGGCCTTCTGGAAAGAGGACAATGCCTTATGGGAAAGAGACCGGAACCTTCTTCAAGAAGACAAGGCCCTATGGGAGGAAGAAAAGGCTCTATGGGTAGAGGAAAGAGATCTCCTTGAGGAGGAAAAGGCCCTGTGGGAAGATAAAAAGTGCCTCTGGGAAGAGGAAAATGCCCTCTGGGAGGAAGAGAAAGCATTCTGGGTAGAAGATGGTGGCCATATTGCTGGGGAGCAGTTGCGTGAAGATGGGCCCTACAACATCAATGGAGGGCAGAGATCACCCGTCTTCTCCCGAGGCAGGGCATAGTGAGCACAGGAGATGCAGAGACATGGGGTCCAGGCTACTGGATTGGGATTCAAGTCCAGGGACCCATGTACTGGAGAAAACATGCACATATTTGTCTCCTTGTTCTGAAAGATCTAATAAAATCCTGAGGAGAGGTTTGGAAATCAACTCTTCAAGGAAGGCCAGCTGTATTATTATTATTATTATTTTAGGTTTTATGGTTCTCCAAAGTCATATTCCCATATTCCAGGCTCTATTTCTTATTTTAGAGGTTGATCCTGGCCAGTTCGCCATGATCCCAGCCTGTGTGGGTGTGAGTAGAGACATTGTCCCTGTCCTCAAAATAAAAAGGATGGCAGAGGAGAGGCTCGGATAATGCCAGCTATAGACATTGCAGGGACTGAAAAGGACTGAGACATCTCTGCCTTTGTCATATTGCCTGGTAATCACTACTCTTTCACCCTGGGTAGTCTTGGAGGCCTGAAATGAGCTGACAGCTTTCCAGAAAAGATCACAGCCCTGCTAACAATTCGTTTGTGCCTCTTCCCCACCTGGCAGGCCGTTTTGAACACATAGGCAGATTTCCTAAATGATCCACTTGCTGGTTGTTCAGAGTTCTCACAGCCCTAGAAGTACTGACCTTATCTGACAATAGAGTCTTAGTAGAAACATGGAAAGATCCAGGAGATGTACGCTAGTCCTTCCTGCTCCTACTGCTTTATACTCCCACTCACACAGATCTCAGGGTACCTGCATTTCAGTATCCTAAGTTTCTTCCTTTTGGTTTCCTGCCTTCATGCACTTTTAAATTAAAATGCCCCCAGGGAAGTAACACATTACATGAATGTACACTGATGTGGTCAAGCAATTTATGTGCCCAATTTTTTCTCTGAGGATGGGGAGATTATATGGTCTTTATGGGGATCCGTATGAAAAGGCCTGGAAGTGAGAGAGTAAGAAAAAAACAAGATGAAAATGTCCTGCTTCCCTTTTTCTTAGGCCCAGTCTTCATTATATTAACATGTCAGTTTGCCTAGCCTTTGTGGGTCTGCTACTATTCAACAAGCACATTCACATTTGCCAACTCCTGGGACCTTTACCACAACTTGGGGGCAGACAGGGAAGGGACAAAAACCCATTGTGCAGGTAAGAAAACAGAGGCACAGTGAAGCAAAGTGAGTGCAGATTTGGGCCATAATCCCAAACGTTAAAATTCCAAAATATCATACTCTTGAAAATCTAAAATCTGGAAAATAGCAATCTTGAAAGAATAAGATCTCAACTAAAGCTAAAATCATGGCTGACTGTGCAGTTCAAGTCCTGGACCTGGTGGCTTAAAGATCATGTGGGACATGTGTGCATGCTTGCCCAAATCCCAAGAGAAGGATGGAGGAGAGACGATTATAGCACGGCCTTTCCTATTGGGGATGATTTCTCACCTTCCTTTTTTCTGTCTCTCTCTCTCTCTCTCCAGCATGTACCCTATAACAAGCTTTTTTTTTTTTTAAAAAAAAAAAAGTGACCCATGGGCAAGCAGCACTCACTGTCTCACCTGGGTACCAATTGAAAAGCAGAACCTTAGACCCTTTTTCACCTAATGCAGTCAGGCTCTGTTCCAACAAGGTCCCGGGTGATTTGGAGGCCCATTTCTTCAGAGTGAGTGAGTGCAGGAGACCAAGTGAAAAGATGGTGAGACCATTCAGCCAGTCAGGGAGAAATCTAAGTAGGAGGTGCTGGCACCGTGCTCTAAGCTGAGGTGGGGGTGAGTGAAGGGGGAAGCACAGCTTAAGATACTGGAAGGCACGTCAGAGAGGGCTGCCTGGGGGATGGATTTGATCAGGGTGATGTGTGTGTTCTTGGCTGGACAAGGAGGAGAAGGTTATGTCTCTCTCAGAGGAGACCAAGGCTGAGGGGGAGGAGATGTGGAGCTTTTCAGGGAGGTGAGATGAGTGCAGGCTGGTATAGACCAGAGGGCAGGTTCCCTTTATCAGCTCTGGAGAGCAAGTTCTCCAAGCCTGATCAGTGCTTGGGTGGACTCAACTTTTCTCCTTATGACTGTTACCCAGCAAGAAGCTGTGAGGCCTTTTGCTACATAGATCACTCATCATTGAATTCTTCATCCATTTATTCACTCAGCCTCATTGTGCCGTGCTGACACTTGGCTCCATCTGTGAACTAGTTGATTCCTGCCTACAGGAAGCATGCAGTCTAATGAGAAGGCAGATGACCACACAGCCACAGCACAATTATCCATGAAGTTTAATAAGTGCTAGAAAAGAGGGGGTACATGGGGCTGCCTCTCTGAGAGAACGAGGCAGCAGTGCAGCCCACTGAGTGTGCTCTAAACACACAACAAGGTGCGTAGGGATAAATAAAACCCAAGTTTAGGCCAAAGAAAATCAACCTAAGGATAAGTAAGCTGTGTACAACTAATAACTGGGAATCACTTGACCCTCAGCACAGGCTCACACATGAGGAGGAGCATGCAGCTAATGTCTGTGAAAGCACCTTCTAACCTCTGGGCTAGTATTACCACTGAGCTAGTATTACCACTAGCACAAATAGAGACAGGTTTCTCCACAACCCTAGCAACAGCCAAAGCTGGTTTCCACCTTAAGACAGCCTGTGTGACAGCGTCACTGAACTGAGCACTTCCCTGGATGTTTCATAAGATAAGGCGCAGGAACAGCTCAGGGCGTTGATCTCCTGGCAGGGAGCAGTGCCATTTACACTGAGCCCTGCTCATTTGGCTGGGTCCCAGACTCATGATGAATCATAATGCAGACACTGAAAGATCCAGGGGTGCCAGGAACAGCATCTGGTACTGTAACTGCTACCTCATCATTGAGTTTATCCTGAGGAATTGTCATCTTCACCCCAAAGCCTGAGGCTCTCAGAAGCACCTCCTAAATCTGACAGAAGGAGAAGGATAACATTTTTAAAATGTAATGAGTTCTCCAGCTGTCTCAGCTCAAGCTACTAAAACGGAATAGCGTAGTCTGGGTGACTTACAAACAACAATTATTTCTCACTGTTCTGGAGGCTGGAAGGCCAAGATCAAGGTGCTGGCAGGTTCAGCGTCTGACAAGGGCCAGCTTCCTGGTTCACAGATGCCATCTTCTTGCTCTATCTTCACATGAGGGGAAATCAAACTTCCTTGGCTTCTTTTATAAGGGCACTAATCTCGTTCATGAGGGCTCAGTTCTTGTGACTAATCACTTCCCAAAGGTCACACCTTCTAATATCAAGGTTAGTATTTTATGATATGAATTTGGGGTGAGACACAAACTCCGTCCATTGTTTCAGAGAAATGTGTTCTTGTCATGAGCGCCGCCATTGATATCTTCAGGCTGTGGGCCACATGCGTTGAACTCATCTGGGGTACTTGTCAAAAATGCAGACTCTTGGGTCCCAAGTCAGACTCAGTGAGGCTAAGCTTCTGGAGTCAGGCCCTCAAATCTATATTAACATGTTTTTAGATGATTTTTATGCAAAATAAATTATGAAAAATACTGGCGTATGGTACAAAGTCTCTGGCATAGAAAGCACTGGACTAGAAATTAAAAGCCCCCATTCTGTACCCAGTTTTGCCTCTCATGCTGTGAGCTTGAGAACACAGATTGAGCCTCGGTTTCCTCAATTACAAAAGTAGACTTTCTAACTGAAGAAGTTGCTGAGTGTTAGAGACTTGTTTTGAAGCCTGGGACTTTTCTCTTTTTTAAAATTTTATCTATTATTCATTTTATTTTCATTTGACAAGAGAGAGAGAGAGAAAGTGAGAAAGCAAGCCGCCAGGTCTGGAACTTGAACCGTGGTCAACCATATGGGAGTGTCCAATGCCCTAGCCACCACGCCACCTGCTGGTCCCAAGCCTGGGACTTCTTCAGGGAAATTCAGAGACCCTGTGCTCCTCCTCAGTAGCCCAGGAACAGGTTACCTTCATGATATCTGTGTGACCCAGGCCAGAGGACCCAGCTTTTGTTTCCTGAACAAACACAGAAAGGGGACACCATGCATCAAAGAGGTGGCACCTGGGATGATCCAACAAAATCGTTGCTAACTTCATGGCCATCTCTTCATAGGTCTGCATCTCTGAACACCCTGGATCCACCTCTGGGGAAAAAAGTGGAACTAATACTATATAAGATATAAAAACTTAGAGTACAAGAAATATCCATCCTGGGTCAGAGACCAATAATACATTGAATTCACCCTGCTCTAATTAACTGGGAATTTGCTAGAACCTTCTCGGAGTGTCTATAAATTCTCTGGGAGCTAATAGGTATCCTGAAATTTGAACAGTGGTTTTCTGTTCTTCCAAGAGTCACACAGGATAATGTGCTTCATTCTCATCTTCGGGGCTTATTAAACGGTCATTGAATTCTGACTCAGAAGAACAAAGGGTCATGGATAACTCACTGTCACTGACAGTCATGAATGCAGAGCCAACTGGTGGAACACACTGAGCTTAGGACAGCCCAGGTGCTAAGGCTAGCCCCATCACTCCCTGGAGTATGACTTAATGAGTTTCCTGGCTGCCCTAATAAATTACCACAGACTGATGACTTAAAACAACAACAATTTATTCTCTCACAATTCTGGAAAATAAAATCAAGGTCTAGAATCAAGGTGTTTGAAGAACTGATCTTCGAGGGACCAGCAGTTAGCGTAATGGCTATGTCGCTGGACTCCCATGTAGTCGACCACAGTTCACATCCCAGACCCGATGGCTTAAAACTCACTCAAGGTGCATGTGCATGCATGCCCAAGATCTTGAGAGGAGAACGGAGGTGAAGGGATTGCAGCGTGGCCATCATCCCTGGGGGGTGATTTCTCACTTTCTGTCTCTCTGTCTCTGTCTGCTCTGTCTGTCGAGCGCACGTGCCCTATAGCAAAAAAAAACCTCTCAAAAAAAAAAAAAAAAGAACTTATCTTCGTGGAGGCTTTCAGGGTGAATTCATTCTCTGTCTCTTCTAGTTCTGGTGGCTATTGGCAAGCTTTTGTGTTCCCTACCTTATATATAATCCCAGCTCCACCCCCCACCCCCCACCACCCCAGGGTGCTCAGTGGGGACTGGGTGGCAGGCAAGTGAGTGAAGCTTCATCTGTTTGCAGCCACTCCCCATGGCTCACATTGCCGCCCACTCTGCCAGCTGTCAGATCAGTGTTGGTATTGGATTCTCAGGGGAGAGCAAATCCTGTT